TCGGTTGCCGGCGCCCCCCCTGCCGCGGGGCTCCGGGGGCAGCCAGGGGAGCAGGGACCCCCAGGTACAGCGATGCATAAACCCTGTCAAGGAGTCTCCTGCTTTTCCTTCAAGAAATGAGTCAGCAGGACTCGTGCTGCTCGTGTAAAGCCAGAGCAAAAACACACGCGCCAGCCACATCCCAGAAGTTGTAAAACACTAATATGGATGGGAAAGCCCCAAAAAGGAGCTTCCTTCCCATGGCACTCACTTTGAGGACCACATTGGTTCACTTCAACCATGGGTTTATGACCCTCAAAACTACCTGCAAGCAGTTTTGTGTCTTTGCTGAAGATTTATGATAAAAGCCTCTTTTTCTTGTTTTTTTTTTTTTTTTCCCCTTGGAAAAGAGGAAGTTAAATACAAAAATAATTTTGGGTTCGAATTTTAAAATAATTATTTGCTCTCACAAGAGGCAGCTCTGTGTAGGGCACCTAAATATTTCATAAGACATACTTTGTCTCTTTTTTTTCTACTGCTGAAATACCTATCTGTAGAGCACCTAATTCTAATACTGCTATAATGAATAGTGCATTAGTCTGCAAATGTTCACTTTAATAGCACTAATATTGGAGATAGAAACTATTCATCTGAGGAAAGGTGGTAAAATCACGAAATAATTATCTTTTAATACAATGTACTCGAGGGATTTTCACTTCCCATAGCTCGGGAGGGATTGGCTAATGGAAATTACAGTGGCTGCAGAAGGAGTTTGCACTCATACATCTCTTGAGTGTTGAAGAAAAAGTCCTTGTGTCAAACAGGTTGTGTTGTGATGATTGAAGCTGCCATAGTCTGCTCTCAGACGTGCACAAGGAGTCTCTAGATTCCCAAGTGGATGAAAAAGTAAAAAAAAAGATTGAAGCCAGCTTGCTTGCCTTTCAGCCCATCCTTTATGCAGCGTGGAGCTGTCTGCCAGGTTCCACTTTCATATTTGCAAACTTAATTCTTTTTAAGAAGAGGGGCAATTATGAAGCTATGGGAGCTCCTTAGATGCACTCAAATATTAAAGACAGGTTACTTTTGATGTTTTATGAATGTCTCAGATCCTGTGGCTCAAGGGCAACTGAAAGTTAGTTTTAAAAAAATCTTTAACTACTACCACAAGTGAAATGCAAAACTGTAAGTTTTGGGGATTGCAGTAATTGAAAGGCAAAGGCTGGAGAGCTACGTGCCTGGCCAGGGGACCCGTGAGCACCCACCCCACTGATCTCAGCACGAGCAGTGCGGCGTTGCCCCGACCACCCCTCGCCTTTCACCGTGCTGCAGGGTTTTACCTGCAGCATCTGCAGTGCGTAGGGGAGCAGGGCTCAGGTCAAACCCATCTGTCCCACATCTTCTTTGCATTGGTCGTATGATGCCAAATAGCCAGCTCTGCCCAGGCTGATGGAAACAAGTTTGCCTTACACGCATCCCTCGATGCCATGTTGCCTAGCTATTATTGTGAATTTTCCTTATAAACTTCAACCTTTGAGTTACTAAGATAATTTTCTTGATGCGATTACGTTACAGGTGCCAAGGGGGAGAAGGGAGATGCTGGGCTGCAAGGTCTGCCGGGTGCTCCAGGTCCTCAAGGTCCAAAAGGTTCTAAAGGAGAAAGAGGTAAAGCAAGCTAACTGCTCATTTCAAAAACAGAAGCTGTTGTCTCATAAAATACCACAAAATTATAGGAAAAAATATTTTTCAAAGGAAATGGAGTATGTTGATATGGATTGACGCCTTGTGAGATTTGACTGGCATTAGTGCAGGCACAGTATCTCACATGGTGGCAACGTACGCACAGGTGGTATAGGAACAGCTGCTCATAAAGATCTCACTCGAAACTCCTTGCTCTGGGAATTTAAAACTGAGTTCAATTTGCTTTGGATTAGGGACATAAGTAGGAAAAAACTACCATGGAAGCCACATGCAGGTGTAGAAGCTGCATTTCAAGTGTATCAGGCAAAATGATTTCAGCTAAGATGAGGAACAATTATTATCCATCGGTAGCAACCAAAAGGAATCCCTGCCCTTGGTTTCAGGCTGAGAGCAGCTCTGTCCTGCTGCACACCCCACTGGTAGGATCTGTCTGATTAACGAAGTAAGGGACACATGCAAAATGGTACCAGTCATCTGGGCAGTGATTACTGTGCTGCAGACGTCATCACTAACGGTGTATTAATGGTGAAATGTCCTAGGAGGCAAAGGGGAGCAAGGCGAGCGAGGAGTAAGTGGAAATCCTGGTTATCCAGGCAAACCTGGGATGCAAGGTATGTAACACGGGCTGGGAAAGCTGGAAATACTGCACTGACCTTTGCTGTTGGTGATGCCCCTCCATCCCCAAAGCAATCTAATACTTTTAATCTCTTTTTCCTCCTCACTTTACCCTTTTCCTAGGTGAAGCTGGAGTAAAAGGCAATAAGGGCAGCTACGGCTTCCCTGGACTGAAGGGACAAAAGGGATCCAAAGGGGACACTTGTGAGAACGGGACCAAAGGAGACAAGGGAGATAGGGGGGATGCTGGAGACCCGGGAGAGGATGGAGAACAGGGTGACAAAGGGGAAAAGGGAGACACTGGGGAGAAGGGGTATTGTGGGGAGCCGGGGGGGAGAGGTGCGAAGGGAGAAAGAGGAGAAGGGGGGACAAAGGGGGAAAAAGGGAGCAAAGGGGAGATGGGGGTTGAGGGAATTCAGGGAGTGGATGGAAAACAGGGAGAAAAGGGCGATCGAGGAAGTAAGGGTGAAAAAGGGGATCTTGGATCCGCTGGCCTGATGGGACCTCCTGGACCCAAGGGGGTCGCCGGCAGCAAAGGGGGCCGAGGGGCCCCGGGAAAGAAAGGCTCCCGCGGGGCGAAAGGTGCCCGAGGGGACACCGCAAAGCTCCTGCGATCGGCCTTCAGCGCCGGCTTGTCCAAGCCCTTCCCTCCGCCCAACGTCCCCATCAGGTTCGACAAGATCTTGTACAACGACCAAGAAGATTACAACCCTTCCACCGGGAAATTCAACTGCAGCGTGCCCGGGGCGTACGTCTTCGCCTACCACCTGACAGTCAGAGGCCGTCCGGCCCGCGTCAGCCTCGTGGCCCGCAGCAGGAAGGTGGCCAAAGCCCGCGAGACGCTCTACGGCCAGGAGATCGACCAGGCGTCCTTCCTCACCGTCCTGAAGCTGAGCGCGGGCGACCAGGTGTGGCTGGAGGTTGCGCGGGACTGGAACGGGGTCTACGTCAGCGCGGAGGACGACAGCGTCTTTACGGGGTTTCTTCTGTATCCGGATGTTTTTGAGATCCTGCTGTAGGTTCTCTGAGGAACGGGCCTTTCCCTCTGCCTGCGAGAGGAGAAACGAGCATCAGTGTCGCGTGTTGGTTTAGTTGCTAGGTTTCGTGATCTTTTAACAAAAATGTTTATATTTGCAAAAATACGGATTAGTTTTAACGAGCAGCCCCAAGAAGTGGCACGTCCTTTGTGCCAGCGGGTGATGGCTAAGAGAAACCATTGTCCAAACACCAGCAGGACCAGCACAGGGAGAGTGTTTCACAAAACAAGACTTCAGGTTCGTAATTAGCATCTTCAAATTATGTAATGGAAGTCGCTGTCTGACTGCCGTTCTAATCAGGCTGGCGCCTGCAATCCTTGCATGTTCAAAACTCCTCTGGAAATCAGTACTGATAACCACTGGTTTTGGTAAAGATTTCAGACTTTGATTTATGGGGCTTAATCGGATGTGAACATGAGCAGTAGGTTTCTTGAAATCACATGAAAAGAGTTGAAATTATTTTATCGTTGAATCAGTATTATCTAGTACTTTAGACTTGGTCTTGAATTATATAAAGGTTTATCTAAAAGAGTATTAGAGCTATTTGATCAGTGTAAAAAAAAAAACCCTGACTATTGTCCTTAGGCAAAAATATATCTGAAACTTTCAAAAGTAACCGAGAGATGCAGAATCTGCTTTATTGGGCTACTCAGAACCCCCATTTCTGAGCCGCTGACGATTCAGACGATGCTGTGGAGTCAGCCCTCAGCTGTGGGGAGGAGGAGGAGGCAGCCAGGAGAAGGCTTTGGCACTCTCACAAGTCCTAAGGCGTTGTGACGGCGCAGGGGATGTGTGGGCACGTTTTCGAAAAGCTGGTTTACCAAAATAGAACTGAACCTTGTGAAATAAAAGTACGACATTAAATAATCGCTGGGTGTCAGGTTGGATATATTTCCTTGTTAATGCACCTTCTCCCATCGTAGTGACTTGGTGCCACCTTTGGCATATTAATTATGGCACACAAAATTGTTCCAGTCGCTCTTTTTTTCTGAGAAATAAAACTCAAGTCCCATAATTAGCCTTCAGTGGCACAGGGATTTGCTTGTTTCCTCAGGCACACAGAAGCCCAGGACATTTTCCCAGTGATTTGATGAATACTGGGTCTGACCCCAGCGCGGACGGGAGGAATTAGGCAGCTATCCCCCTTGGTTTCCTCGCATAAATTGCCATTGTGCTTTCCACACTCTATTTAAATGCCATCATAAATCATGTCCCTGTCCCTAACGTCTTGTTTTTACATGGCACCAAGATGAGGAGATCCTGAGACTTTTTGTTACGCAGTTAGAAAATTAACACCAGAGAACTGCTATCAAATTTGAAGATTAAAAACAAGGCAATTCGAGAAGGCTGATCGTATCTATCCGGTGAATGTAAAGGATCCTTCGACTCCTGGGTTTTGCAGCCCTCTTTCAATATCAGCAATTCAAATATGAGATGTACTGGCTTTGTCAAAAAGTTGGTACTTAATTTGATGCTTGATCTGAATTATTTCCTATGTAGTTCAAATCCAGAGTACTAAGTATATAAAAGATGTAAATTTTAGTGGATGAATTCTCTGACAGCTGTTAAATATTGAGGAAAACCAAGAAGTTATAATAATCATTTTGGATTCCTGC